TAAATACACTTTATTAGCTGAAGTCATCATTTTTCAACTAGAAAAAGTCTAAGTTACAGGCTGACTTCAGGTCTTAGATCATTGTTACTTATAAATTATATATTTTTCTGGTATAAATCTGCTGTTTTACATGATTGTTGAATGAAATTAACATAATTATTAATTTATTGTAAAAACATGACAGATAATSTGTGAAACAGATCCAGTTCAGATGCTGTTAGAGGCTGTGAGCTGTGGTCCTGTTTGGTCTGTTTCTGCTCCTCCATGATGTCACAGACACTACCTGTGGACGGGATGGGCGGGGCTTAGTCTAGTGATCTTATTCAAGTCTATGGGTCACGTTTGACTCCAGACCAGGGGCATCAAATTTATTTTCACAGAGGGCCTTATGAGCATTGTGGTGTTTAACTTCAACTAAACAGGACACATAATGTTCCTGAGCAGCGCTAACCAACAATAACTGAGCTCTACCTGGTATATCCTGCATAGAAACAGTGTTCTAACACATCCTTTTATACACACTGAAAAGTACTATATGCACGACTATAAATGTGAAGTAAATAAAACAAATTCTTTTAAAAGTAAAAAATAAGAGCGTTTTACTCATTGTTGAGTTATGGTGAGTAGCTGCCATCTTGAATTCTGAACTCTCCACTAGGATTTCCTTCTGGAGGGTCATTCCTGTTGAAATTCATGACATGTAAGTGGGAATTTTCCACTTATAAGTCATAAATTTAAACAACTGCAGCAAAAGTAGCCAGAAGAAAAATGCAGCAACTTTTGAACCCTGTTCAGCYCCACCTAGTGGTTGGAGGCTGTCGTTTCACTGGTAAAATAATCAGGATGCATTATGGGAGATGTGGTTCATGATCAATGCTGGCTTTAAAGCAGCGTATTYAAAAACATGTTTGTAGCTTTCATGGGCCACACAAAATGTTGTGCACCTTKTGAGACTTGCAATAGAAGGAGCTCATACCATCAGCCCTCCACCACCGTACTGACAGTTGGTAACTTGTTTTTGCTGTATATTATTGGTAAACATCTCTACTTTAGTCTTGTGGTTCCTTCAGATGAAACTTACCTTTAAGCTTCTAACTGAGACCTGTAGAGTCTGACCTTTGACCCTCTACTTTAGTCTTGTGGTTCCTTCAGATGAAACTTACCTTTAAGCTTCTAACTGAGACCTGTAGAGTCTGAGGTGGAGCTCATTTCTCCCAGTGCTGCACGGTCTGACCTTTGGGGTGAATCTGATTGGCAGCTGTTTTAAATGTTTTCCACTTAAGAATATTATTTCAGAAGCATTTGTACCGATGAAAATATCCTCGTTCTGCCAACGATTAGCTCCAAAGCCCGTTTGCAAACATCTGTTTCTGATCACAGTCAGATGTTTCAGACATTAAAGCACCAATGAATCCTGGCAAACTGGTGCAGAAACATTTTTTATTCATTTTAGAGTTCTGTTTAATAAGATGTAGATTTAGTCAAATATTAAAAACCTCTCTGTTTATTAATACTTAATGTGATTTCTTTATAGTTTCAACTGAATAAAAGGCATTAAGGAGAGCTGAGAGTAGTAAAAACAGGAGTGGAGACTTTGAGGAAGTGAAGAACTGAAACAGAGGGAGCAGTGTGTGTGTGTGTGTGTGTGTGTGTGTGTGTGTGTGTGTTAATCCACACAAACTCAGAGTCTCGGGATCTTTACTCGGTCTCCTCCCTGGTTCTCGTCATTCCATCTGTCTCCTCTCTCACGGAGCACATCTCCGTCCCCCCCTCACTAGACCCCGGCCATGCTGCTGCTCTACAACTGTTTCATCTCTCTCCTAGAATCGATCTACCGCCGCGGCGCCAGAAGATGGAGGAAACTCTACCGAGCCAACGGACACCTCTTCCAGGCCAAACGCTTTAACAGGGTGAGTGTCGCCGCACCTTTAATGATCTTCACCTCCTGCTAATAAAGCTTCTAAACGTGTCTGCTCCTGGGATTCATGGCTCACATCGAGTCACTGCAAACTCTTTTCAACGTGAAGTCAGTTTGATCAACATTAATTGTACCAAACACACCAAAAACAGGAAAAATATCAAGTTGTTTGCTAAAAATTGATGCTTGAGGTTCAAGACTTCAAAACGAGAGTTTTACAGAAATGTTCCTAACCAGCTAAAGCAGCCATGATGGAAAAATATAACAAAAAATCTGCTGGGTATTTTAAGATCCAGTGACCCAGAAGCTGCTGAGTCATGTCCAGCTTTGTGAAGCTTAGACAGAGCTGCAGAAATAAGAGCTATAAAGTGGTCTGTGTGAAAGAATTATTGATCGTTTTAAAAATAACTTAGAGCAGAAGTGACACGAGGTTCTGGCAGTCATGAAATATTTGTTTTTAAGGTGTTTTTTTTTTTTTGGAGATGTGAGAAAGATCTGAGGAAATCTTAGAGTTTGGGTGTGTGGACTCAGCACTCTGCAGCATTTTAATTTTTTTCTGTAATTCTTGATGCAGCCTGGGTTCAAGCCCAGATTCTGCATATTTTTCGTTTGAGGTTATGGCCCATGTTTTCAATAATTGTTGCATTTGGTCATTTCAGTTCTGTCCTCAGGAGCCCCCTTCAGCTCGGGGCCCTGGGTGAATGCCTATCCTGCCTACTGCATCATGACAGCTCTGGTTATGGCCCACTTCCTGTCCAACGTCTGGACCCCAGAGAGCTGGGGTTCCATGGCCCGGCTGCTGGGGCCGATATGACATGAGCTGCTGTTAGCTGAATGTTGTCTTTCCCTCTTGTCTGTCATAAGTCACACTGCTGGATGGTCCGATACAGTTTTCAGCACCTTTCGGCTGTTTTTAATCAGGCTACAGTTAATCTTCTGTCAACACTTCGCCTATTCTCACTCTGTTTTAGCTGCTCTTGAATTATAGAGAAGAGAAGTAGAATGAGCTTGATGTCGTCCATCGTTGTTGCAAATAAAATATGGCTGGGTGATGTTAGCAAAAACTGAATCACATTTTTTATTTTTTTTTATTTTGCTGTTAACAGTTAATATGACKATTGACCCCATTTAGTCCCTGGACACCAGCGTGTCCTTGTCACATTTGAATCACTTTAGTGGGAAAGATACACACTCACAATTTGTGTCAAAACTACGGACTTCAAGTTAAACCAGAGTTACAACGACTAACTTACAACACTTTCATGTTAGTCATATTTGAAGCGGGAGGCAGTGAAAGACGAGCAGATTCATTTAAAAAACACCTCAATCCCCCTCTGTTCCCCACCGAACTGACATAAAACCTCCAAACTCCTTTCTGACSGACACCTGARGTTATTTGACAAATGGCAAAGAATCTATGAGAAGAACAAAATAAAAAGAGATGAAAGATGAATGAAGTTTGGTGACGATGGAGAGCAGGACTGAGATTTATGATATTTAATGTGTTTGGATTTTATAGTTAGGGTGTACAGGGTTCCCGCGGATCCTTAAAATGTCTTAAAAGGCATTGAATTCTTCAATCCAAAAATAAGGCCTTAATTAGCCTTAAAAAGTCTTAAATCAGTCTTTCAGAGGTCTTAAAAATAGGATGATTGTAATTCCTCTCAAATATTCAAAAAATAGGTAACATTTATTTATCTTTTTAAAAGGTTTATAGAATGCCCCTCGCAGCTAGTTGTTTTGTATAAAAAATGGCTAAAATTGTTACAAACTGTTTTTTTTTTCATTTGTGTTTATTGTGAAATTGGTCTTAAATTCAATTTCAAGTGGCATTAAAGAGGTCTTAAAAAGACTTGAATTTAACTTGCCTTAAACTGGAGGACCCCTGGTGTAGTTTAGTGTTTTTAATGTTTAGTTCAGACAGTTTTAGATTGTTTGAGATGATTAATATATTTTAATATATTTAGTTTATTTCAACATGGAGCTGCAGCTGATTGAGATGGAGCTGGACACAGATGAACTGATCAGAACCTTCTCAGGAGCTAGCAGCGCTAATCGTAACCCTCAAATATTAACCAGCAAAGGTTTTTCTGACTATTAAATGCACACTATCTGATTTTACCAAGGCCCAAAATAAAACGTATCATGATTGTCACGTTTTTGAGATTCTGTCTACAAGCACCTGGTTCAGATCTGTAATAACTGAAAACAATAACAAACTTTTCCTTCARTAAAGAGTTAAATCTCTTCTGTCTGCACTCCTCATCTCCTCTAACCAGGTTAGTTCAGTTCTGCTAACGTTCCCTCCTCACCGCTCAGAACCGATGTTTAAATCTGTGCAGAAGGTCCTGCCGTACGGCCAGTCCTGAATCTACTGAAGCTGAACCATAAATCCCAGATAATCAAGTGTTGATAAATAAGTCACGGCGCTCTGGTTGCGGCTTGTTTAGCTGCCGGCTGCCTCCTCCTGCGTACCTGAGAGGAGGCTTTAATCATTTCCCTGCCAACATCTTAACGCTCCTTCTTCCCATCATCCAGCCTCGTTGTTTTTATTCCCCTCCAGAAGAAACACATTAAAGCGCCATCAGGCCTTAATGTGATTCCTGTGAAGRAAGGAGATCAGGTTCTGGCTGCTGCTGGACCTTTACCTCGGCCTCGCCTCTTGTTGCAGGTTTTATTAGCTGTATTAGCTTTAGCTTCTCTGATAAACTGTCAGGTTTTGTTCACAGCTGTTCCCGTCAGACGGTGACGGCTCGCTGATGACGGACAGCTGAGTGAATCCTGGTTGTAGTCTTAAAGTCTGAGTGCTCCGACGTCATGCTGACTCAGCACTTCTCCTCCTGCTTGTGTTTTTTTACGTGCTGATACTCTGTGGGAACGACTTATTCAATAAAGAAGAAGAGAAAGTCTCTCCCGACACAGATTTTTATCAAATCTGCTGTCATTTCTCAGCGTTGAATGATCTTAGTTTAAATTTATTTCATGAAAAACAGCAGCAGATATGCGCTACGTCTTTTATTTAAACTTGAACTTTTATTTAAATTTTTATTTTTATTTTGTGCAAAAACAAAAAGAATTTATATTTGTTATAATTTAAATATGCACAAAAATGAGCCCATCTAACGATCCCAGTAAAGGCCCTGTCACACTAGACAACTTATGAACATTTTAAA